CCCCCCCCCCCCCCCCCGTATGCCTCTGGTTAATATAACTAAGACTGTAAGAAGAAAAACAAAAAAAAACACAATACAACCAATTATGTTTGTACAATTGAACTAGAGAGTAGTTCTAAATTTATTTTAAGCATCAATCATTTTTAGGACAAACATTTAAAAGAAAAGTAAATTACCTACACAAATATTTTTTAGACCATTAAAATTAAGTATTAAACATACAATTGTCACAGTAATTAGCAATGTCCATTTAAATATTTAAAAGGTCAACCAGATTGAAATGAAGCAAAATATGTCTATTTCTTATTTAAAAGTTAACTACTCAAATTAGATTATTGATTTAGGATATCAAAATAGTTTTCATTGTTTAATTACTTTAAAGTGTATATGAACAATGCTATCTTTAACTTTAACAACTTGTGCATATTTTTGTCCAGGACATTTACATTTTTTTAATCAGCTGTATGGGGGCTTGAACCCATATGCCCTTGGAGGTGCGTGGTTGACTGATGCTCTTAATACAAGCCAGTAGGTATGATTTTGTGAATTGTTAGGAATGAAAAAATTTGTTAACAATTAGAAACATGTTAGGATCATACTAAAGGTTAGTGCACTAATGGCTCACGATATGATTATCAACCAAAACAGATTTTTTTTGCAAAAAATTTGTGGTTAGCTATGCATACTAAGATACGCCACTTTTATTTCTTCTTATACTATATCTCCCTACAATTAACATGCACATGCCTAAAAGGTATCTGGGAAAGTCTTAGTTTAAGTAACAAAGCCCATTTAGTAAAATAATGATCTAGGTCACCATTTCCCTAACATTTTTGAGTCCCAAGCCCATTTATGAAAACAAATTGACCAGAAAACCCCATAAATTAAAAAAAAAAATTAGTAAAAGAAAACACAGATAATAGATGTTTCGGTAGAGAATATTCAAAATTAATTAAGACAAAGATTAACACTGAAAGTTTCTTTTAAAATATTTTTTTTTCGTCTTAGTTTAAGTTTACTTTTTATGCTAGTGACACTACAGAAAACATATTTGTTGAAAACCATAGACCTATTCCATTATGAATAATAATGGTTTTCTCCTTGTTACTTATATCTGCTTTACTAACGTTACCTTAAAAAAAAAAAAAACTTCTTTGAAGTTAAAATATTTAAAATAAAAAATAATAAAAAAAAAATAAAATTGAAAAAAAAAAATACTACAGATAACAAAAGTTTCAGCAACCAGAAACATAACTTTTTTTTCATTATAATTTTTTTCAAAAAAAAAAAAAAAAAGACTTTAAAAATAAAAAATATAAAATAAAAAAAAAAAAAAAAAAAAATAAAATTGAAAAAAAAAAATGCTACAGATAACAAAAGTTTCAGCAGCCAGAAACATAACTTTTTTTTCATTATAATTTTTTTCAATTGTATAGCTACTGTATTTTTATGTAGAATTTTTCCTCATCAAAGTCATTCATCAAAGTTTAGTACCCGGTATCAAAAGTAGGGACATAAGTCTGAACTTACATTAGCTTTATTTCTCTGATCTTAGATATACTTTTGAGGTTGCCCCTGTTTTCACACTGATGGAAAAAGCTGTTGTGGATAAAATGTTGAGTCACATAGGTTTCAGAAATGGAGATGGTCTGTTCTGCCCAGGTAATAAGTCAAATAAATAATTGTCTTTATTTTTTTCTGATTATCTCATTTATATTTATATATTTGTTGTCTCTTTGATGCCATTGTGCAATATGCCACACAGCTTGAAAGTTTTAGATTATGATTTATGATGTTTTAACAGTTGGCATTAATTGTGAAGGAATAGAAATATGTCTTTTCCTGGTTACCATTTAATTCTCCTCTTTCAACTTTAGCTATGGAAATGGCATGGATTCATTGGCTGTAGCTTTAAATATTAAAACCCACTTTGTTTCTAAAAGTTTTTTTTTGCTGCTGAAAAACACATTATTTAGGATATCAGTAACACACTACCTACTGTAGATTTTACCATTATAGGTGAACCTATGGTATTTTGAATTTCTCATGTATGTAAATAGAAGTAGTCTTTTAAAAGAAGAATAAAGAAATATTTATCCATTTCTGAAGGTGGATCACTGTCTAACATGTATGCCATGAACTTGGCTCGCTATCGCATGTTTCCTAATGTAAAGTTGACAGGAGTTAGTGGACTTCCTGCTTTATGTGTTATGACATCAGAAAAGGTAGATTCTATAGAAGTTAATAGTTTTGAAAATCACAGATGACCTTGAGATAATTAGTTTTAATATTCATAGATTATATATTAGTAATCAGTTCTCAAATCATAGAAATTTATTTAAACTAAACTAAAACACAGAAAGAAAAATCTGCACAAATTTACTTTAAGATAAAAATTACATTTACATCTAGTTAAACACTAATAAAAATAAAGTAAGACATTAATTCATAACAACAATGACCTTCTTAAACTTAAAATATAAGTACTGGTAGTCTTAAATTTTTCTTAATGTCTGTTACTGGTACTAAAAGGGACATTACTCAGTCAAGAAAGGAGCAGCTTTTCTAGGTATTGGCATGAACAATGTGATAGCTGTCAAAACAGATGTCAAAGGTCGTATGATTCCAGAAGAATTGACCAGAGCTATTGAGGGTGTTAAATCACTTGTAAGTATTTGTCCATGAATGTATTCAGAAAATGATACTTAAATCATTTACAATTGGTGTCAGAACCTGCATATTTACATGTGAATTGCTGTTGTTCTGCACATTACATCTCTATATACTACACTCCCCACACCGGTAAGGATGGTATAAAGATCTAAGTATTCAGAAATTAACAGCTGATGCTTGCTTTGAAGGAAATATGATAGACAGATTGTAAACAATTACTCCCCAGGGTTATGTCCCTTTTATTGTCAATGCAACAGCTGGTACAACTGTGTTTGGAGCTTACGATCCACTCAGTGACATTGCAGACATCTGTGAAACATATGGATTATGGATGCATGTGGATGCTTCATGGGGCGGCAGTGTGCTGCTATCTGATAAGCTTCGAGACAAGGTTAATGGCATAGGAAGGTGAGATACCGGTGTTGCTGCTTTTTAGAAAAAGATATTCAGCTGTTTTAATATAGTGTAGCCGAGAGTAGAAATATTTTATTGTTTCAAACTGTGTTATGATGATATGCTTAGGGTTTTGTTTTTTCTGTTATATGTTACATTAAACATTTAATAAATAGTGACACTCAGCTGTTATCAACCCATCTCAAGTATAGAATTAACTAATTACTTAAGTTCAGCAACACAGCATTCAAGTTTAAAAAAAAAAGACATTTCCAATGATATCTTTAAGCACCAAAACCATGTTTAATTGCAGACATTTGTGATGAGATTCATATCACCTCTTATGATGTTGGTATCTCTTAACCACTAACAATTTGTGATGACATCCTTTTATCACTGACACAGTAATATATTTTTACAAACAGAGCTGATTCTGTAACGTGGAATCCTCACAAAATGATGGGTGTTCCATTTCAAGCAGCTGGCTTTTTCACAAGGCACAAAGTAAGTTCTGTTACTTGGCTACTTCCTGAGCAATGTTGTGAATTGTCTCTGAATGGAAATAGTATTTGACTAATTTCCTTTACGGACATTATGTTTTATCTTGCACTTTGTCAAGAAGCGTTATGCTGGTAACGGGTACCATTATTTACATTTTAATAAAATTCATTTCATTATCTTAAGTTGCTATTCACTGCCTCTGCCTCATCAAATTGTTGGCCGCCCCTAAGAAATTATGTTTCTAACAGATAAAAAGTAAAAAGAGATTTTTCTTCAAATTCTAACAATTTTATCTTTTACCATTTCTTTTGTCTCAATGCTAAAGTGCTAAATTTATGGTCATTTTGCTCTATCATATTGTCTGATGCCTGCTGTGCTAAAGCTATGTTGTTTTGTTTCATGGTTTGCTTGACTGTCAACAGTGCTAAAGCTGTGGTACTTTGTTTCAGGATATATTGTCAGAGTGCCACAGTGCTAAAGCCAAATATTTATTTCAACAAGACAAGTTTTATGATGTCAGCTTTGACACTGGAGACAAGTCGATCCAGTGTGGAAGAAAAGTTGATGCCCTAAAGTTGTGGATAATGTGGAAGGCCAAGGGATCAAATCAGTTTGCTGCCGACATTGAGAACATCTTTAACTGTGCCAAGTCAGTGTTATATGTAATTGTATTGAATTTAATAAAATTCTACCTTGTTTAATTGTCCATTCGTTATTAAAAGTGCAGAAGAAATCCATTGATAAAAAATAATTTTTTATAAACTTCAGGCATGCATGCAGTGGTGTAGCTGGGTTTAATGGCGCCGTGGCGGTCAGAGAATTTTACAGCCCCCTTCCACAAAAACAGCTATGCAGTTGGTCGAAAAATGCCCCCCCCCCCTCTATATAAAGAAATTAGTGCGGCCCCGGGCAGACTGCCCTCTCTGCATTCCCCCATCCTACACCACTGCATGCATACCAGCCTGAAAAATAAAACTTCAGGCATGCATGCAGTGGTGTAGCTGGGTTTAATGGCGCCGTGGCGGTCAGAGAATTTTACAGCCCCCTTCCACAAAAACAGCTATGCAGTTGGTCGAAAAATGCCCCCCCCCCCCTCTATATAAAGAAATTAGTGCGGCCCCGGGCAGACTGCCCTCTCTGCATTCCCCCATCCTACACCACTGCATGCATACCAGCCTGAAAAATCAAAACCTGTACAAAAAGTCCCAAAACACCCGTACAAAAACATAAGTGTTCAGGATAATTTAATTGTGTTATTAATGGAAAGTGATACTTAAAATTATTTACAACTTTAACTATAAAAGGAAACACAAACTATCATCAATTCTCCCTTCAAAGAGTATTGCAGTTTTGTTTCCACTGTTCATCTATCTTTAAAAAAAAAAAGAAATCTGTTCTTCAGCTACCTAGCCCAGAAGCTTGCCAAAACTGAAGGATTTAGACTTGTCGTTAAAGAGGTTTGTCTTCTGACAACATAATAATAAGAACCATATATTCATGATAAGTTTGTGGTAATGTAAGAGGTGTCAGTAGTCCTCACATTTAAAGGCATAGATTATGACAGTGCATCATAAATATGTGAACATCATTAACATTAAGTTTCTAATTATCATTTGAGGTAGTTGATACCTGCTATTTTTTGCAACAGAAAACTAAATGCCTCCTTTATCTTAAGGTAAAATTTACATTTATATTATAGTCTACAAAATAACTTCCATTGAAAACATTTTAGTTTTGCATTAATATCTATTTGACATACTGTAATATTTGATTAAATAATTTAACTCTGAAATAAGACATAATCCAAATGAAATAGACATACTTCCTTAGCCTTAAGTTAAAAATGTTAATCAAAGTCTCGTCCACTCCATGTTCCCAGCCTGAGTGCACAAATGTTTGTTTCTGGTACATTCCACCAAGTTTGAGGACACTTGATGAGACAGCAGAATGGTGGGACAACCTATCCAAGGTATTTCAATTTCATGCGTAGTCTTCCCTTTTAGCACTTCATGACAATTAGAGATATGTCCCTTCCTGTATGTAAATGTAAGCACTTCATTACAACTAGATATCTGTCTGTACCTCACTGTATGTTAGCTAGATGTCTGTCTGTACCTCACTGTATGTTATCACTTCATTACAACTAGATGTCTGTCTGTACCTCACTCTATGTTAGCAATTCATTACAACTAGATGTCTGTACCTCACTGTATGTTAGCACTTCATTACAACTAGATGTCTGTGCCTCACTGTATGTTAGCACTTCATTACAACTAGATGTCTGTACCTCACTGTATGTTAGCACTTCATTACAACTAGATGTCTGTCAGTACCTCACTGTATGTTAGGCATTTCATTACAACTAGATGTCTGTCTGTACCTCACTGTATGTTAGCACTTCATTACAACTAGATGTCTGTCTGTACCTCACTGTATGTTAGCACTTCATTACAACTAGATGTCTGTCAGTACCTCACTGTATGTTAGGCATTTCATTACAACTAGATGTCTGTCTGTACCTCACTGTATGTTAGCACTTCATTACAACTAGATGTCTGTCTGTACCCTCACTGTATGTTAGCACTTCATAACAACTAGATGTCTGTCTGTACTTCACTGTATGTTAGCATTTCATTGCAACTAGATGATTGTCTGTACCTAACTGTATGTTAATCTTAGCACTTCATTACAACTAGACATATGTATCTCACTGTATGTTGTTACTTCATCACCACTAGATATATCAGCAATTTAGACAGGAACTTGAAGGAAAATTTGTAAAACTTTTTGCCATGACAGAGGCGCTACTGGTTTTCTAACTGTACTGCCCGCATTTAAAAGTTAATATGTTTATTTCAAAATTTATAAATTATACCAAAATCATTTTGATGTTACACATCAGTGACAATTATTGGTGGGAATAACAAGTATTTGTATCAGTCCATTAACAGATTGTTTGTGGATTGAACAGTGTATGTTAAATTGTCTAAATTTATTCATTGAACAGTGTATGTTAAAATGTCTAAATTTATTCACTGAACAGGGTATGTTAAAATGTCTAAATTTATTCACTGAACAGGGTATGTTAAAATGTCTAAATTTATTCACTGAACAGGGTATGTTAAAATGTCTAAATTTATTCACTGAACAGGGTATGTTAAAATGTCTAAATTTATTCACTGAACAGGGTATGTTAAAATGTCTAAATTTATTCACTGAACAGGGTATGTTAAAATGTCTAAATTTATTCACTGAACAGGGTATGTTAAAATGTCTAAATTTATTCACTGAACAGGGTATGTTAAAATTATTAAAACCACTTAATCCACCCACCCTGATACTTTATGTCCCTAGCTGCTAATTGTGTTTTTTTTTTGAGAGGGCGGGGGTAGGGTTTAAAAAAATGCATATAAACATGACTCCTTTTAAAATCAGAAACTGTGTGTCAGCACAGGGCGGGCGGAGGTAGGGTTTAAAAATATGCATATAAACACGACCTCTTTTAAAATCAGATACTGTATCATGTATGTTAGCACAGGGCAGGGCGGAGGTAGGGTTTAAAAAAAATGCATATTAACATGACTCCTTTTAAAATCAGATACACTTAATGACTTCACTATGTGAAGTGCATTGAATGAGTAGAATATTTAGCCAACGAGCGCACCTTTATACATCATGCTATGAAATATCACTGTGAACATTTCATTATGCTACTACATAAATCTTTCACAATTGTGTGAAAATGTGCAGCACAGTGAGTTTTAGCTAATGTTTTTTCTTCCGAGTACAGCTATTAACTAGTTCATTTATGGAGTACAAAAAGAATCCATTCCCGTAAAGTAAAAAAATAAAATGAAAATCAGACTAAGGATAGCGTGTTTTGTGAAATTTGATGTTTTTAGAGTAAAAACATTCGGTAAGTGCCCTCCCCTAATCAGAATCTAGCCAGATTTCTGTAATAGGATACTAAGCCTTGACTCAGCATTAGGACTGCAGATATTCTGGCATTAAATTTACGACTAGGCCTGCATTGTTGAATGTAGTGCTGTAGTTTCACGGCTTTACAACTTTTGTTTACTGTTCACAGCTCTACTCTTAAGTGTGAAGAAATAATTGTAAAAAAACATTCAATAATTTCCATATCTTCCAGGTTCTTTTTATCATGGATTTAAATGAATCCATAGTGAGTTAAAGTAATTTGAACTTTTTTACGTGAAATTTATGTAAGTTGGGGGAAGTTCTCCATTAATTGATTTTATCTTTCCAGGTTGCACCACTCATTAAGCAGAGAATGACAGAGCAAGGAACTCTTTTGATTGGCTACCAACCAGACGGTGACCTGGTCAACTTCTTCCGCATGGTGGTAGTTAACCACAAGGTCACAGAGCAAGAGATGGATTTTGTTATAAGCGAAATAGAACGTTTGGGGAAAGATATCTAACTTGCAAGCTTTGGACATCAGCCTCCAGTACCATGGTCAAGTAGTAATTGGACTATGAAGTTCATTTTTAATCATACATGTATGACTTACGACAGCATTTTTTAAAAGTCAGTCATTTATGACATTAAAAAAAAGTAATGAGTAAAACAAAACCTAAAAAAAAAAAGCAACAAAACAACGAATGCATCACCAGGAAGCCTTCGTCAGCAAAAAGACAACAGAAAAAAAAAGAATTAAATAAAAAAATAGTACTTAGCTGAAAAGTAGTATCCGAGAGAGCAGCAAAAGAATTGTGAACATTTTCCCAGTTCTTAGGTCTTTTGCACTGCAGTAAATTTAACGTTTGAACGGGCCATAGGTGGCCTGAAGGATGCCCATCCCTGCTGTAGTTGCTTAAATTGCTCAACATATTTATATGAAAAATGAATAAAATTGTTTCATTGTTTGTTTTTTAGATTTTTAAAAAAGAGCAACACAAGAATAAATATGTTCCTTATATAAATACATGTTTATTACACTTTTTATGTGCATAACAACAGTGGCAATTCATTTAAAACTTTTTCCTTAGCGGGACTCATTTCAACATCCAGTGGCTTTGCTCTCAAGACTAATGAATATAATTGTAAGATCACAAAGAAATAGTTATACTAGAGTTTTATTTTTTGAAATTTTATGAGATGGATCATTGCTTTGAGAACTAACAGCTAATCTATTTGGAGTTAAGGATTTTCAGTCAAAACATTAACATGAAAAGCATCAGAAAGACCAAGTGCTGATCCAAGAGTCTTCACTAGTTAGAAGGCTGATCAATTTGTTCAGTGCTGAATGGCAATGGAATGGGGGAATTGCCTGAAACTTGGAGGGCACAAAAAAAACCCTCTTTTTTACAAATTCAAAAAAAGAGGACCGGCGCAGATCAGCAGATCTATTGTTGGCAACCCTATGAAGCTTGAACCTGACCTATCTAAAATGTTTTTAAGACTTTTCAAATTACTTTTCAAATTCCTTGACTTAATCTTTTATGGTACCAGTATATTAAAATTAAAAAAAAATTATATAAGATAAGCTAATTTAGAAAATGAGGATATAAAATATAATAAAAAATGTTAAGAAAATAGGAATTTGAAATGCCTTGAAAACCTTGTAACATAGATTAAAAATAAATTGGTTTTAAAAGATATAAATAACTTGAACCTACACCAAGCAAATCCCGGAAACCTGGGTTCTATCCATTGTTACAACTTGTGATCTTCAAGGACTAATTAAAGGGTAGCAATCCAATGCATAAATGGTAGGTCAAGTGAGGGACTGGCAGTCCATTAAAAGTTTGACAGCAATACAATTAAAATACTGAATTGATTCGAAAGTCCCTGTGTAAACTTAAAAACTAAGCTTTCTCAATTTTTCAAATGCAAAGTTTTAAAAATGTTCCGAAATTATTTCACAATTTGTTGAGTGATTATCCACTTAATCTAAAACTCACACCATGTAGGTGAATGAAGACAAGGTCAGCACCAAAATCTAAAAACTTCAATTAGCATGGATTTGTTTCCCTTTGATAATTTGACTAAGTCATCACTTTTCTCACACAGCTAAGTGGCTAAACCGGGCAAAATCTCCATGAAGATCAATCCAAGGCATAGTTTTATTTCCATGTCTGTTTCTTTAAGACACAATAAAAACAAGCTGAACTTAAATAGACCTCTTCAATTTTTTCCCTTCTATAACAGCTTTGATCTCATCTTTGTCCAGAGTTTCATATTTCATTAAAGCTTGAGACAGGGAGACCAGTTCCGAATGATGCTGTTTTAAAATACTTTTGGCCCTCTCATAAGAATCTTGAAGCATGCGTCTGATTTCACTATCAATAACTTCCCTCTGAGCTGGGCTGATTTCTCCTTCTTCTGGAAATGACCTTAATCCTACCTGTTGTAAGATAGCAAATGGCAAATGAGATTGATACAAATTTTATAGATTTTGTAAGATACAAATGGAAGTGTTCATTAAATTATTTCCAGATATTCCTGTACAAATAATCTTGGGAGACTCTATATTGTCTATATTTTACATACCCTAAATAAAAGATTCAACAGATATGGATAAAACCTTTTTTCACACGGTTTTAGTGAACTTGGTTTACAGCTAAATAATTATCATTAGTTTTCAATAAAAAATTATTTTCACGGACACTACAGATGTCACTTTGGGGTAGGGAGGTAACTTTATTAAGAAGGTGTCTCAATATTTTGGAATGGACTTCTACCTATAATGGGCTTCTGTTTGGGTTAACTAGCCAAGAAGGGTAACTCATGAGCAATAATAGTCCAGGACATTTCTTCCTTTACAGCACCCCCCCCCCCCAAAAAAATTCTTCCTTTACAGCCCCCCCCCCCCCTCCCCACAAAAAAGTAAGCTATAACATTTTATTCACATTGTCACTAAAAAAATAATAAAACATTTGACACTTTACCTTTTCTGACATCCCCATAGACATGACCATGGATGTGGCAATTCGTGTAGCCTGCTGCAAATCATTGGTAGCTCCCGTTGTGACTTTTTCTGGCCCATATATCAACTCCTCTGCAACCCTTCCACCCATTGCTGTGTCTATAGAGGCTTTCAACTGAGAAACTGTTCTATTGTACACTTCTTTGTCATCTATGAATGAAGTCTGGAATATTTTAAACAAAATCATTAAAAGGAAAACATTTTAAAAAAAAACAACATAGTTTGTATGCCATACAACAAAAACAGTAATGTGTGGCATGATACCCTCTCTTGGATTATCTATAGATTAAAAACCTTTCACTTTCAATTATAGTACCTTAACTCTCAAAAGACGAGAGATTGAAAAATCGGTCATATATGGCGGGTGAAAAAAACGACCCCTAAAATATATATAAAAATAATATTAAAAGGCGAAAATTAAGATTTACTATTTTAGAATGTTAAATTTCAATTTGGCCATAAAGAAAAATCGTTTATACTGCTAGTTTTTGAAGAAACCTGGTAGCAACTTGTCCATTCATAAATTTTCCTTTTTGCCATTTACTCGTATTTCGCCACAATTCTGGTTCACTGTTACTTCACACTAAAACATTGCTATGGAGTCTGATTCTGATTGTAAGCTTGAAATGGACAAATATTCTTACTTAGAGGAATATTTTTGATGAAGATAGCACTTCAGATGTGTCTGATATAGAGAATTCTGTAAATTATCATCATAATAATAGTAACAAGGTTTGTTTACTTTTTTCATTCATACTCGACTCACGCATATTGTGATATTTTCTTAGCACTATTATTAGCCCTAACATTAGTTTTATTCAAGTTCCAGTAGTATAAAATTCTTAAATAGATTACATTATTTATTTGTTTTATAATTGAAACTAATTTGTAGTTATAAAATTATTTTAATAATATTACGTTTCAGTTAGCAAAATGTAAACAATGCCATACAAGGCCAAGGCTAACTGTAACAATCGGCTGTGTTCCTTTTTCAATGAAAAGTTGAAGTAAAAGTAATTTAGGCAGATTGTTGAATATTTAGAAATCTTTTTATTTATATTGTAAATTTTTATTTTAGCTAAACTAATATTTTTTGTTTTTATATTTTGACAGCATCTATGCAGATGTCAAACATAGTCAATACAATGGGTTATGATGACAAAAGACTTGCTTTGCTGCATTTAGACCAGAGGTACAAAGCATTATTGCTTCCTGATGTTATAACAAGAGAGGATATAAGGATATTTCAAAAGCAAATAGAAATTTTCAATCTCTACCTTACTACAGATTTGGTTGTTTATTAGTAAGCAGTGTGCGCAGGACAATGGGCCGCAGAAATTTTGTGTTTTCAAAAATTGGTACCATTATCAAGCTCTTAATTTTACAAGAAATGTCCAGGAAATCCTTTAATGATGGACAATGAGCAAGGCCATTAGTACTAAGGACATATTCAAAGCTATATTGAGTATCCTAAAAGTTTCTGACTGATACTGAAAATAAAGGAAACATGCTGTGCAAAATTGGGAGACCCTTATGTATCTCCATGCAAAATACAATGAACTGTATCAGCATCAAGAAAGTGTAGCAATTAATGAACATTTTAGGGAACAGGTGACATCTTTAATGATAAACCTGTTACTGTAAAGCCGGAAATCATTACATTGTGCGCCGGGACATGACAATAACAAAAAATGTAATTGTGTGTTACCAAAACAGGGTAAAATGGTCAGAGCATATGTCACAGGCTTTGTTTTTGCTACATTTGTATGTTTTAATAAAGAAAGAAATTGTTTTCAAGAATTTTACATGCATGGTCTTGGCGAAGGATTACTTCATTTGATTGGTATCTCGGGGATGCATAAAAAATGTTGATTTATTAAAATGTATTTTTTTTTTCTTAACTTTTCTTCTAAAATAATACTTACTAATAATCTTCTAAGGGATAATATGATGCATTATATGTTTTCCTTTGAATAAAAAGTATTATTAATTTTTGAAAATATTTTTGACTTTTTCTAGCAATATTTCCTTGAATGATATGTTGCCAACAAATAGTCATAACTTTTTTATTTTTGAGTCTATTCTTTTAAAATTTGAATATGTTTTGTAGTATTGAACATATTCTAATAAAATATCAATTTTATAGATATATTTGAAAACACTTTTTTTTTCCCCTTATTCGTAAAATTGTGATGTTCTGTTTTTGACTTAAAAAACATTTTTTTTTTGCCCAAAAATAATAAAAAAATCAAATTCAGCAAGGATATTTTGAACAAACACCAAATATCAATCAAAGAGCATCCAATTACCTTTAAAATGATATATAATACTTGTAGGTAGCTACAAAATTACAGCCATGAGGCACAGTGAAGAATAAGATATATTCAAGGTCATTAAAAACTGGAAAAATCTAGTCTTTTGAGAGTTAAGCTGGATAACAGAATATTTTCACTAAGTCACCATACTGTCATCACTATGCTAAATCGCACCTGCCTCTAGAATCAACTACATCTGAACTTGTGCCTATTTCAACATTTGATTTCAACAAAGTAATACCCTTATTAAATCACTTTTTGCTGCTTTAATTTCAATAGAATCTACATCCTTCTGTACAAATAGTTTTATAACCTCAGCTTGGAAAGTGCAAGCATAGAATTTAGGACAAAACCATTGTGATAGGCAGGAGTGGAGTAATTGAGAAAATAAAACCACATATTTATGCTGTCCCTTGTTCTCTGCCACAGGACCGACAAAGGTAATGGATAGAGTATTTTTCGCTGTACGTACATGACCCAACGATTGTCCCCTAGGTATAATTGTAACTTTATGCAGTGGAGTAGCATCTTTTGTGAAGTAAGCAACTAAGGTATGTCCAGCCTCATGATAAGCTGTAGTAAGATTTGTCTCTTCGTCTGGTATTCTGTGTTTTCTTTCTGGCCCTGTAAAGGCATCAATTAGAAAAAAGTATTTTCCAATAACACTCTGAATATCTGTTGTCTCTTTAAATCAATATGTAATTCATCACACCATGTCAATAACAGCCTGATTATTTTCATAAAAAAAAAATAATTTATAAAAAAAAAAAATTTTTAAAAAAAAACACGCCCCCCCCCCCCCCCCCCAATGGATTATTGAAAAAATACAACAAACAACCACTTTAATACATGCAATAGTTTAACTACTCTAATTATTTACAGTTTACTTTGGCACATACTAAAATGAGTGTAGGTAAAAACTGGATTAAACAATTTCTTTTCTGCAACACCTTCAAAACCATAGCCCAAGTTGCTTTACACACCCATAATTATTTTGTCTCTTGCAAATTCCAAGTGCTGCATTGTGACAGTTTCCTGGCCATCAATGACAGCTTTAAGGGCTGCCTGGTTGACCAAGTTTTCTAGTTGTGCTCCTGGCAAGTAAAGAGAAGAGCAAAAACAATGAATAACAATTTGATAAAGTATTTGAAACAAGCTTTAAAAAATTTTCATTTATTTAGACAGCCAAGACTGTTTTTACAAAGGCAGAACATTTTTTTAAAAGAGAACTTGAGTTCAAATAAATAAGTTTTTGTTATGCAAATTATTTACCTGAAAAGCCGGTTGTACCTTTAGCAATTTTGTCAACATCAACATCTGGAATACACAAGTTTTTTTTGGATATAACATATAATGAAGCTACTACATATATAACTGCTTTAAAAATTGGTTTTGCATTATTTTTCAATGTTGTGGTTATGTTCTTTGAATGATAACCTTTGTCACAAAATTAAAATAAAATTTCATTTATATGAGGATACATTTATTATTTGACAGTAAGCTGCTTTGGCTTTGTATTGTAAAAGTGAGATTCATCATACAGGAATGCATTAAGTGTCAGAGATGGCGGGATTCAATCATTAAGAGAGTGACTGTGTTGATAAGAGAGTGACTGTCCTCATAAAATACCCAGTGAGCTTTCCAATATTAAAACCCAATGGCATAACAATCACATAAACTTACTTGGATCTTTCTTTATTTTACTGATATACAACTCTATAATTTCTTTTCTCCCTTTCAAGTCTGGCAGTGAAACGGTCACTTCTACATCAAATCTGCCAGGTCGCCTAAGAGCTCTGAAATAATATCATTCACATCCAAAATTAATTTTAAAAAGAAAAAGTTATGGTTGTGGCAGAGTTGACCCTTTCGCTACCGCTGGGTTTAAAAAAAAAAAAAAAAAAAAAATTAAAAATTTTTTTTTTTTTCCCCCAGTATATTTCATTATCTATCCGATTCGCTTTTTAACTTCCCTATAGATTAACGAATAAGGAAATATATAGCATTGAAATATGACGTCGACGTGACGTCCTTGGTATTTCAGAAAAGTTCTTTGACTTTTTGTTATGACGACAATGTGACGTCCTTGGTAACTGAAAGTGGGTGATCGTGACGTCGCGTCAACAGTAGCGAAGTTGTTAAATAAAAAATATTATATACAAAATTAACTCCTGCAAATCCTTTGTACATTCTGTTGTGGTATGTGTTAAGTTATTCACAAATATTTAAACTGATGCTATTTAAAGATTGAAACCAGATTAGAACCTTGTTCTCTGCAACCTAGGAGCTGCTAACAACAGAAATGTTTGAGAAGCACTGTGACTGTTACTTACTTGTCCATGTTTTCAACTTTGTTAGTGGCCCCCATGACTATGATGCCTTCATTCTGTTGAAATCTGTTACAACAATTTGTAATAAAATTATTTCAACGAGATAGCTTATGAGGTTAAAAGAAATTAGAAATAGCTCTATTTAATCCTTTATATCAAACAATTATTAGACCAAGTTAAACCAATAAAAAATATTTTAACTATAATAGTGACATAAAAGTTAAACTTACCCATCCATCTCATTTAATAGCTGGTTCACTGTCTGATTAGCATATGGATGGATAGCAGAACTTGTCCTTTTTGCACCCACAGAGTCAAATTCATCAATAAAAATAATACATGGTGCTTGTTCTTTGGCAGCACCTTCGGAAAAAAAATATGAGCAAAAATAAAATATCATACAAATAGATAGTTTGAAGCTAAGGTAATCTTGTACTTTTTTAAAACTCAATAATTTTACCTCAACATCACTTTCTCCAGTTTTCAACATCCCTTTATTATATTTTAATAGGCATGTGCAGCCCTTAATTTATAGATATAATTTACGGTAAGATTTTGAATAATTCAGAAAGTTTTTTTTCAAAAGAACAATTGTTTACATTTAATTTCCACATAGCATAAACTTTGACCCATGTCTTTTTCATCTGAATGGTGAAATATGAGGTTTTCAGAAAGTAAACTGAATAACTCGCTAGCAAAATTAACAAATGAGTTATCACTTGTTACCTCTAAATTAGTACTAAATTTATCCTCTCGAGTCCATTTTTAAAAAAGAAAATTGCAATTGAACAGTGCAACCCCCCCCCCNCCAAATTTGACAAAATATTATAACTTAAAACAAGCTATAAAAGTGAAGTGGAGAGTATTCAGGAAAGTTTCCTTTTGCTATAATATATATTACATAATATATGCATATGGTCTCTGATCTGCGACTTGTGGATATTGAGTGTTAAGGTAAAAACAAATAATTCTCCCCATTCCGTCTGTGCTGTCATAAATTTACCAAGTGACCTTTACCTTTGTTTACTTTAATTAGCATATCCTACAAATTCATTTAATAAATGAAGTTTATAATCTTTGATTAGTTTATATCAAACAAGAAATATATACCTTTTCAAACACGTCCCCTAAAAAAAATCAAAGCCCATTGAAATTCAGACGTTGCGAAACATCTGAAGGGATTTGATCCGTGATTATATAAAATCAATTATAGAAAAAGGTTGATAGTGGTTTTAACAAAATGATAAAAAAAAAATGTGCATCTCAAGTGTTACATTTTGACAAAATTTCTACTATACTGACTTCAATACTGAGCTCAAATTCAATCGCTTACTAAACAACTGTCGAATTCTCTTTGCTCCAAGACCAACAAACAATTCATCAAATTCAGATCCAGATGCATGAAAAAATGGGACACCAGCTTCACCTGCAATATTCAATTTCAATGATAGAAGGTATAAAAAAACCCCCATCTACATTAGCTTTATTTTATTAGAATAATTGGTATCTTTATAAGCCATATCATTTACAACTTGACAAAATTTTGAGAAAAATAAAACATACATCATACTGAAAGAATTTTTAAAAAACTTACCTGCAACAGCCCTAGCTAGCAACGTCTTTCCTACACCTGGTGGACCCACAAGCAAAACTCCTAAAATTAAAAACAATGTCACAATTTGAGGTCTGCATAGCAACATTAGAAGCTAACATTATGATATGCAATTACTTTTATTTTTTATTATGCAAACAGATTTATTAAGTTTAATAAGTAGAAGAGCTAAAAAAAAAAGAAAAAGATATGCTACCATCAGGTATATAAATTCCTTGGTATCAACACCATTTTTTTCTGTTCCACTGATATAACTTACAAGAAATTTAAAAAAAATACATTATTCTGGAAGAACTTTAAACATATTAATGCATTTAATGTCATTGAATGATGCCTAAATTATGGCTAAGACCTATGTTGCTTGTACCGAACAAAAAACCGATTGCAAGCAGTTATTTAGAAACCAAGCTTTAGGAAGTTCAGTACCTAACGACGACTACCAACAATTTCTTTATATACCTTTTGGAAGTTTGGCACCTAATGATGTGTATTTTTCAGGATCCCTCAGAAAACTCACAATGTCTTGTAGTTCTTGTTTGGCTTCAGCAGCCTGTTTAATATATTTAAAATGTGTCTAATTATTCCAATTAAGTAGTAACATAGCAGCTGTATTGGAAGCAAAAAGTGCATGATGTATTTTAATAATTCTATTGTAACCAATTTGCCCAACACAGGCCATGCAAAAACACTTCTGAGAGAGTTGCACTGGCTGCCGGTGCGTGCTTGCATAGAATACAAAAATCGCAACTTTGTGCTACCGCTGCTTACATGACCTGGCGCCGTCCTATCTGAAAGAGTTGCTGACGCCTTATGTACCCACTAGACAATTCCCCATATCCGATAGTGGGAAACTCTTGACACCACGTGTTTGCCTTGAGACTTACGGAAAGCGCACTTTCGCATTTGCTGGTCCAACAATTTGGAACGCCCTTCCTGTCGATCTCAGAAACAGCCAGACACTGGAGTCCTTTAAAACCGATTTAAAGACACATCTATTTCGCAAACACCTTCTGCTATGATTGTCTACCATATTTTCCAGTTAATGCATATTGGCTTTGTTGCTTGTATATAGGGTTGAAATGGCTAGAAAGACTTTGACTTGGTATGCTTGTAATTAGTCTTTGTAGTGTTGCGTTTGTTTTAAATGTGGTAAATTATAGATTTGTTTTTTGTTGACTTTGTACCGCGCTTCGAGCCTTTGGGGATGAAGCGTGTTTTTGAAATAAACTTATTATTATTATTAAATTACTAAAAAAACATGTTCAAACCCCGAGACACAGCAGGTTCTTCAAACCAAGATTCCATACCAGACCTGTTTACCCCCAAACTCCTAAAATCGTACAATATCTTCTCAAAATCGTACAATGCAGTATTTTGATAGTAAATAAATAAAAATACAGTATACATAATGTATACAATAACTCCTATAGCGTGTTCAGTGGAATCGAGTTACGCTGGCGTCAAAATATGGAACTGTAGGTAAACAGTAGATGACTGACGTAAACGGCAAACTGCGGTCACTTTGTTTTGCAGACGTGTATCGGCTAATACAAATTAATTAATATTTGGGTTAACGTGCTGATCACATTATCCCAGTCTGTCGCAGGTAAAAATAAAATCACCGGTGAAATTTAACGTTGTTCAAACTTGACGTCAGGTGGGCATAAGATAAAATGTATTAAAATAAGAATTAATTACCCGGTAACAAATTGGGACCCCCCATCCCTTTTTGTGTGTACGGTACAGTGAGCTTTAAAACACCAGCCCAGCCCCCCCCCCCCCCCCCATAAACTTAACAAAATCCATTGTATTTTATGATGTTACAGTCAACAAAAGGTGACACGGGTTTTCGGCCAGCCCAGTGGTTCCCAGAATAAACGCCACATCGCCCTGGGTGCTCGTTGCCCTCGGGCAAGGGGGTGGCTGCGGCTTCCTCATCGGGGCGTTGCGAAATATTTTTAAAAATTCATTATTTTATTTTCCCTTTTAAACCAATGTGACAACTTTCGGTCGTAACAGTAACTCACTAAAAAATTGCTGTTTGCAGTTCCAGATGGCGCTCAGTGACCTACATACACATTATATTTATTTTTATCAAACCCTTATTTTCTTTGTGTATTCGCTATTTCGAATTGTACATGTTAGAATTCGACACAGGGAGCCTGGTGAAAACGTAGTGTGGCATAGGCGCAGGGAAACAAAAATTTTAGAACCGCTGGCGTAGCCCACCGAATTATACGTAGCACGTGGCCTTACCATTCGGTGGACTAAAGATTAATGTAATTTCTCTACTACTGAGTTTATGAATAGCCAGCGAGATCATTTGTGAAAATACATCTTGACAACATCACAGCGATAATTCCTACTAAACATTGTCTGGTATTTTACAGCATTCGAAATATAAATGTGCTATTTTAGGACTTTCAGAGTTACGGGATGAATAGTGTAGTATTTTTAAATTCCGCATGTACTTTCTGCCGAGGAATATCCCCCCCCCCCCCTTTTTCACACCCCCCAAACTGACATTACGAAAATGTAGGTGGCGGAGTTGATTGTATAGATTTAAATATTTAGACCCGCGCCATACACACTATCTCCTAAATCCACACCACTCATTTTGTCTCTGATTGCTACTGAAAAGTCCGACTTGCAGAATGTGCAGTGCGCGTATGATGGACCCTTCTATGAAGACCTCAACACAGTAAATTGTGTCTTATATCCAAGCAAGAATATAAACTTTCTTTATCCTTTGTTGAAGCTGATGTTTATTGGTAGAAGTGGAAGTTTCTTCTTCGTCATCGGTTTCGCGTGCATTTCTTTTTGTCGAGGCCAGATCGTAAAATACTCACTAAGTAAACTAAACTAGGGGACCGAAAATAAAAAGGATAGCTGATTCCATTAATGGTAACATTAAAATCAGGCAACGTGCACACCCGTCAATGTAGCCTAATTCGAACGCCAAAGCTGTTTGGGAAATGGGACATTCTGGTATAACATACCTGGTACGCAAATTAACATTAAAAAGTTTTATAAAATATTTATACCCCCCCCCCCCCACCTTGTCAACGTCAAACAAAGGACCATCTAACTATTACGTCAAACAAAGGACCATCTAACTATTACGTCAAACAAAGGACCATCTAACTATTACGTCAAACAAAGGACCATCCAACTATTACGTCAAACAAAGGACCATCTAACTATTACGTCAAACAAAGGACCATCTAACTATTACGTCAAACAAAGGACCACCTAACTATTACGTCAAACAAAGGACCATCTAACTATTACGTTAAACAAAGGGCCATCTAACTATTACGTCAAACAAAGGACCATCTAACTATTACGTATTATATACGCACTGAGGATGCTATGACAGATTTGATGGGGGGTCAATAGAGTGCACCTACATTTAAGCATACAATAATTATCCTGACAGTCTCTTATAGAGCCAACTGTCATCTGAAAATCTATGAAATCCGTGAATTCTAATAAGGCCTTTTATTATTATTATTAAGGCTATAAGAAATATTACAATATTTAGCAGTAAGCATATTCATATATGCCTACTCATATAAACTACTAATGCTGTGTGTTTTCATAAAGAGATCCCTGTAGTTGTAAAATTGAACATGACATAGTGATAACACACTGTAGTCCAGTAATTCGTATTTCCGTGCTGGTGACATAATTATTTCCACCGGGCAGAGCCACCCCCCACCCTTCATTACTGGGGGAAAAAATTGAGCCGTCGTCTGATTTTTTTCCGTTTAAAAAAAGGGGTAGGGGCAGTATTAGTAGTGATACCAAACTGTTGTATTACGATCGCTGAGGGTAAAGAGCTGCTTTGCGAGTTCTACCAATATTTGTTAAATGCCGCTGACTGGCTCTTATCAAATAAGTCCACAACCAACATTCCAGTGCAGAACAGTGGGATCAAGTATTTGATTGTAAAAACCATCTTGTCTCTAGTTTTCTCCGTTTTCACAATCGCCGCAGTTCAAGGGAACAAAACTACGTCACACGCTGGGTAGCAGTCAAAGGGGATGGTGGTGAATAGTATAAATATTACAGGTGACGCAGCTAACTAGGCAAAGCAACAGTGTGACAATCATCACCATCAAGACGATACTTTGCGGTGATATTTTTATAACTTTTGACACTCCGACCAACCCCCTACCCGTATGCCGCAAATCTCCTTCATTAACAACCCCCACCTCCCCTCTCAGTGCGCACATAATACAATGAAGGATGGTCCCAACTTTAATTACAACCAATCGTTTTTCTCGTTTCATTCATCGGTAGATTTTTATTGGAAAAGGCTAAAACTTCAACAAACGAATTTTAATCGGAAATTTTTTTTTTTCACCGGCTCTCTGAAAATCGTAGTTTTGTCGGGTCTCGCCGTACACTCGTAAAAGATATCTCAAAATCGTACATTGTACGCCAAAATCGTAAGAGTAAACAGGTCTGCCATACTGTCTTTAAATTGGTTCTTTTTTAATAAGACAGGTCATTTGTAAGTTTCAGGGTCATATTTATTTTGCATAGTGAATATTCATTTGCTTCATCATACTAGCAGTTTCCAACCAGTGCCTGAAGACACATGAAAGATTCACAGGTGTATGGAGCAACTGATATGAAGAATTTTTTAAAAAAGTTCATTTCGACATTTCACCTACAAACTAAAGGGTCATCCGAGGTAAGCCAGTCAAATCTAGCTTTCCAAGCCATGAAATATATGATATAAGCCAGTATCGGAATAAAAGGAATAATAATCATTGAGTTAAATAAATGTATACGAGTGAAACCAGCAGCAACGCTTGTAGCAGGAACTAAGTCAACCATCAGACAGAACTAATAACTTTTGAATTTGCCAGTGATTAAAAATGTGCACAAGACAAAGTCTGGATAAATATCAATGCTGATCGTAGAGACCGACCGAATTTCCGCTTCGGCTTTGGCGCCGAAAGTGGCCATTTTATCACTTTCGACCGAAACTGAAAAGTTAACTTTCGGCTTAATTTCGGTTTCGGCCGAAAGAGAAAAGTTAACTTTCGGTTTTTCTTCGGTTTCGTCCGAAATTGACTTAGACTTTCAGCCATCCGGCCGAAAGTGACTCAGGTTTTCGGTCATTTAATACTCAGCGAAAGCGACATTTAAGAACAAATTAAGCGATCTTTGAGAACAAACTAAACGATATTTAACAACAAACTAAACGACATTTATGAACAAATTTAACGATCTTTAAAACAAACTAAGCGATCTTTAAGAACTATCTAAGCGATCTTTAATAACAAACTAAACGATCTTAAAGAACAAACTAAACGATTTTTAAGACCAAACTAAATGATCTTTAAGATCAAAACAAATGATCGGTAATAGAAAACTAAATGATTTATAAGAATAAACTAAGCGATCTTTAACAGAAAACTAAATGTTCTTTAGGAACAAACTAAAAGATCTTTAAGAACAAACTAATCGATCTTAAGGAACAAAATCAATTATCTTTAAGAACAAACTAAGCGATCTTTGTGAAAAACTAAGCGATCTTTAACAACAAACTAAGTGATCTTTAACAACAAACCAGGCGATCTTTATGAACAAACTAACCGATCTTTAAGAAAAAATAAAGCGATCATTAACAAAAACTGGACGATCTTAAACAACAAATTAAGCGATCAATAACAACCAACTAAACGATCTTTAAAAACAAATTAAGCGATATTTTAGAACCACAATTTTTAGAGACCCGGTTTAAAAAAATAATACTTTGCATTAATTTCCTCCCCCCCCCCCCCCCTCAATTTTTGCCAAATTTTCTCCTAACATACTAATTAAAAAAAAATGTAACGCAATTTAAATTACTTTTATATTAAAATGGTAAAATCCAAAGTATTCATTAGATCAAGGGTCTCAAACTCAAATCACCAGGGGGGGGGGGGGGCGCAGGAGGTAGTGTCTGAATGAGAGTGGGCCGCATCAAGTAATCCACAAAAAAGCGATTACAACTGTTACAATCTGCTCAACCTTTATAAATAACAATAAAATCATTAAGGGTTCTCAAGAACTAGGATTCACTTTCATCCACCTACTCACTGTTGCATTAAAAAATATATAGAAACATTACCAAAAAAAAAAAACAGAATTAGACTAGTCGGTGAGATTCGACTGACACCGTCGCGGAGAGTCACGCTATAGCTATGAGAATGGGGGAAACGGGCCGGCGCATTTACACTAAACTTTTCTGTCATGTAGCGGGCCGCAAAATATCGTCTTGCGGGTCACAAATGGCTCGCGGGCCGCGAGTTTGAGACCCCTATATTAGATGTTTATTTATTAATATTCACAATTATCTCATTTTTATAGAAAGAATGTAAATATTTATACTTTCCCACATCATTTTCGATGTATGCAAAATGTATGCGGGAACGAATTTCAAAATATCTAAATATTTCATTTTCGGTTTCGGCCGAAAGTCATTTTTAAACTTTGGGCCTTTTTTCGGTTTCGGCCGAAAGTCATTTTAAACTTTTGGCCTATTTTCGGCTGAAATCAGAAAATCACTTTCGGTCGGCCTCTAGCTGATCGTAACAAGCAACTTCTGCTACAATTCTTAATGTAAGAGATAAAGGAGCTGCCTAATATAAGATGTGAACACAGTGTCTTACGGGAAGTGATTGCTTGGGTTTTAAAAGGGATTCAATTTGTGTAAAACACTCACCCCTTTAACATCTTCAAATGTCACATTAACATCTTCAGCATTGACTTCATAGGACATGCTGTTTAAGAAACCAAGTGAACCTCCTGTTTTAAAAAAAAGATGACTGAAATTAAAATTACTTTTGGATGTATTAATACAAAATTTGACAATCATACATCTTAACCTCACTTAGGCAAACAGCACTTTAATAAAAAAAATAGATATAAAATAAAAATTTCATTGTTTATTTAATAAAACATTTTACCTGTTTTGATAGAAATTTTTGCACTTAGTAGCTGATAAGCAAGCCACAAAACAAAGGCTGTGACAATAAAAATCCTGAAAAATATAGAAAAAAATTAAGGCTAAGAATTTTTTTTATTATTAAAGATTAGTAGATCAATTGTATAAATTCTTAAATGTCAATTCTTGAAAAAGTTCTTGACTGCTTTAGTTACGTCTGGAAATTTCAGAAAAAGTTTTGAATGGGTTAATTACAAACTTACTTTAGAACTGGCCATTTTCTTTTTGGAGTCTCCTCTTTTGCCTTGTAGCCTTCTGCAAACGCAATCTTAAGCCTTTTGTCAATCTCAGGATCAGAATCAGAAAGCGACTTAGGACCATGGTCGGGCTGCAATAAAAGTTAACTGATTAAAAACGTAATTTTCTTATGTTGTGAGATAATCAATGTGTAAGTGCAGCAAGCCAAAGCTAAACTGTTGTGCTAGGAAATACTTTCTATGAAAATCAGAAATGATTAACTTCATAGAACATAAGATTAACTGAAGTCCATGTAATCTGTGCAGAAATCACATTTTCATATCTCTTAGCTTCCACAGCTTGGTTACCTTTCATAATTATTGCGTTTTCAAATAAATTACTGTACTACATTTAGAGGTTTCAATTACTCAACTAAACCAGGATATCAGACCTGTTTACCCTAATACTCCTAAACTCGCACAATATCGTCTCAAAATCGTACAATACAGTATATTATTAGTAAAGAAATAAACATTACAGTATACACAGTGTAAACAATAACTAATCACATCACATGTCTAGTGGAATCGAGTTAAGCTGGCCTCAAAAAAGGGAACTGAACGGTAAAAAGTCGATGACTGATGTTAACAGCAAACAGCGGTCACTTTGTTTTGGAGACATGTATCTGCTATAGTGTCAATTAATATTTAGGTGAACGTGCAGCCGTAAGAAATAATTATGTCACAAAATGACATCATATAGCACAGATGCAAACAAACACGATGAGATGCAATCTATATATTATGTAAGCCCAAAAAGAGTCAAATTTTCTAACAAACACCCCCACTCCCCCCGCACACTTTTTGACGACAACACACCCCCTCTCCCCCCGTCTTGATTCCAGAGAAAAATTGCCTTTAGAAAAGAGCCTGCTAGTGCATTAAACCATTTATTTAGTCAAAGAGAAAGGGCGCACTGAATTGTCCTTTTACTGGTCCGCCCGTGTGGGTGGAGCTACATGGGTTGCTGTGGCTTCCTCGCAGGGGTTTTGTTTAACTTTATTTCCACTTTTAATTTTAATCCAAATATCACAACTTTGGGTGATAGTGTAAAGTGTAAACAGTAACCCACCTGAGTAACTAATGTTTGCAGTTACTAGATGGCACTTAGTGACTTACATAGATGTCATATTTTTGTTTCCCCAACTCTTTATTTTATTTTTTTTTATTTATTCACGATTTCGAAGTGTATTCATTAAAATTTCAATCAGGGAGCCTGGTGAAAAAACTAAATTTGACATAGGCGACGGGAAACAAAAATTTTAGAACGACTGCGTCGCCCAACAAAATATACGACACATGCACGTTGATCATACGGTGGACTAAATAAATATTACTGTAACATCTCTACTACTGAGTTCATTTGTTAAAATACATGGCATCATCACAGGTCCTACTTAACATCGGGTGATATTTTACAGCATTCACAATAAAATTATGTTATTTTTGAACTTGTAGAGTTTCAGGATGAATATTGTAGAATAATTGAATACGTACTTTCTGGCAAGACTCACCCCCACTTTTTTTTCTCTCGCTAACTATCATTATGAAAAAATGTGGCAGTGTTAATTTTATAGACTTAAATATTTAAATGCCCCCCCCCCCCACACCATTTACACAAAATCTAAATCAACACCATTCAATTTTTCTATCGGGGTAAAGGTAATATAATTATAGATGGTCCCCAACCAATTGTATTTCTCAAGCCATTCACTGCTGGGTGTAGAATGCAAATTAAAACCAACAATTGAAAATATACTTTTTTTATTAGCCTAATAATAATTTTTTTTTTATCGTAAAAAACTAACCGGAATTTAGGCTATAAATTTTTAAACCGGTCTCTTAAAATTGTAGTTCTGACTGGTTTTGCTTTTCTCAGTCTATTCACCGCCAGATCTTTATTTGAAATGTCAACAACCAAAAAAAAAAATGAAATCTAAAAAAACTACCGGGTACCCCAATATTTTTTTACCGGGTCTCTGAAAATCATAGTTTTGGCAGGTCTAGGCATACAATCATAAAAGACATCTAAAAATTGTAAATTGTACGCCAAAATCGTGAGAGTAAACCGGTCTGGGATATTGAAAATGTACCTGTTTATCTGTTCTACTGCTGAAAAAATCTTGTACATTATCTAAAATTGAATCAGGCTGGTCCTTTTTAGCACCAACACCAAATGTTCTCTTCTCTGCTCTGTGAGACTTAAAGCCCCTTTTCTGTGTATCTAAGAGAAAAGAAATTGAAAAATCAGGCCAAAGAATATTTTATCCTTTATGCTTTAAAAAAACAAAAAACAAATTAACTTGAAAAAAACAACAACCTAGACCAAAGACTAAATGATAACACTAGAAGTAGCAGTCACATAAAAGTAAATGAAGAATTGAAAATAACACTAGAAAAAGTCACACATAAGTGAATGAAGAAATAAATACTTACAATGCGATTGAACTAATGAATTGAATATCCTTCTAAATAAGGGATCTTTAGAAGCAAGATTAAGTGGAGGTAACTGCTCATGAGCCTCAAAAGCCAAATGTGTTCTAGGAAAACCTGTATTGAACATTAAATTAATTTTTGTTTCATTTGGAAAAATAACATGACTAAATTTACTACTTTAATGATTATGACATTTTGAATTATTTTGACATGTGTGAATATTGATAGCTTCTTATTATATAAACTATTTCAAGTAACATTTGTAGAGTCATTGAGTAATGACTGGTTTTTGAAGCAATTCACAACTTACTACTCAAAATTTTTAATCTTTGTAACATCATGTTTGGTGTTTGTTTATCACTGAGAAAAACTCACCAATTCACATGAGGCACAAGAATACAATTAATTAATCTTCTGTAAGAAGGAACTATATCTACAGCCATTTTTGAAAGCATGTAAAATCTTGAGTGACATGATATAATTATATTTCTTGAGAAAATCAATAGCATCAGTTAGTTCTGAGTGGATGGTAGTGGTAACAAGGCCAAAAGCCCTACGTGGGCTGTCATGCCACAGGGATGGATACAAAGAAACATAACGGTTGAGGCGACAACACTAGACACATTTGTGTCTATTGCCTCAAGCCTTCAAACCCTTAGTGCATGATTCCCTCACAAAGTTGCACTGGAAATCTGTGAAATTTTCTCATCAACACCAGGAACAGAAACATTGCAAATTCCATCTACATGCATAGGAGCCAAAATGATAAATAAATTGATCGTGGGCCCTTAAGATATAGAAGAAGAAGAAGGTTAAAAGAGTCATGATAGTAAACATGGATAACATTAAAATCAAGTCATATCTGTTTCTTTATATCAGTTACTTTGCTTTTTTTAAAAATTCACTTAAACTACCTGTTTTATTCTCAAAAAAAGTGCTAGCAGATACATGACACTCTGTCCAATTCGTTGATCCTTCAGTCCTACTCTGTCTAATGAGAGCAGTTACAGGTGTGGTCAATGTAGCTTTGACATCTTTCAAAGCAGACTTAAGATCAGCCAGTTGCAGTGGTTCCAGACACTAATAAAGGGAAAACATAGCAGTTGTATTGAAATTGAAAAAAAAAAGTGCATCTTTGACCCCAGTTTACACATTAATCTATCAACTGTCCTTTACCACATCATAAGTAGAATGTGAAGATAGCTTAAATGTCAATAATTAATAAAAAAAATTTTGGCCAATGGCTAAGGGTCTAAAATTAGACCATTGATCATATCAGTTTCAACAGAGTTAAACTCAATATCAAATTGTGTAGAAAAAAATGGGTTTTTGGGCAAGTCAAATATTTTAACATCTCATTTAAATTTTACTTAAACTCCACCAGGAGAAGAGAGGAGAACTATTTTTTTTGCCTTCCAACTTCAAGGGACTTATCTAAAATGAATAACAGAGGCAATAAAGCTGTTTAATTTATATTTCAACTTAAAAAATAAATCAAGTACTTTAACAGAATTGATACATACTTGACAGATGAAAGTTTTCTGTTGCTATTGTTATATACATAGGCGTTCTATTTGTATTCTCATTTAATCTTTTCCTGGTGAACGACCTAAGCTGACCCCAATTCACCTGCGTTATTATTGGGCGTGTCTTACTCCTTTTTGGTCTTGTTTACCACAAACCAATCTATTGTCTGTTTATTTACTCGAATGCGGTAGAACACTGTAGAACATTTGTGTCACTATTACGATGCGTATTCTGACCACGAATCTTCTATAGAATAGACTATAAATACAGGCTAGTGGCACGCATACCAGAGAGAGAGACGCAGACAGTGAGAGAGAGTTATTTTGGAACGTGTGAATGCGTTTTTTACAGTAAACTTCTTTTCATTATTTGTACCTTGTAATTAGCCCTGTTTCGAGTATCATATTCTTTGTTATTGTTTTTATCATTTGGTATCGTCTTTTGTCATGTACTGTTTTGGAACGAGCCATACATGTAAATAGGAGATTAATTTCTCCCTACTGACAACAGTGCCTAAGACTATCATAAAAACAAAACCATGATCTATTTTATAGTCAGCACACATTATATATATTGCTTCACTTCTTGACAAAATATTGGCATGATAATCAATCCTTTAGATTATCTATACAAGGCAGTTGACCTAAACAATAAATGTGGTAGAGTTACACAGGCATCAAAATTTGTGTGTGTGATAACAAGGGATAAATGTATCATAAATGAAAATATTTGTGTGTGTGTGTCTGTGTGAAGTGTGTGTGTGTGTGTTCATACAGTTTTAAAATGTTTTCCCTTTGTTTTGTACTAACTTCCACTAATATTTCTTTAACCGGTGATAAGGATTAATTATATAAATTATGATTGTTAACAATAAACATGTCAGTCGTAAGTATCTTTAAAGCAATTGCTACAAAAAGTGTAAAAAAATTAATACTTTTATCCTTAGCAGAAGAGGTAAGTATCAAGGGTATGAGAATCACTGTTGTTATGTGTAGAGCGTTGTTGTCATGTTTGATAGGGAAAAGATCTTAGTTAGAGATTTTATGTGCAGCCGTATCGTTTTTGTGAGAGTGTTGTGACGTAATTGTGTAGTGGGAAGTGACGCGTTAGTTTTCGTTTATGTTAGAGAAGATAGATGGCGGTTGTTGTGCTGAGAGAATTGATGGCGGATATACTGGATGAAGTGTTTGGATTGGTATATTGATTAATATTTGGTTGGAGTGATTTTATTATCAAATTCTGAAATTATACATCAAGTCTTGTTCATCGAGTAGTGTTAAATAAACTTTTGTTTACAACAAACCGGTTGATGTTTGTTGCATTGGTTACTGTTGCTGTATGATGTACTGCCGAACGGAATGAAGTGAAAGACTTGGCCATACAGAAGAATCGCTTCTCGACAGTAAGTGGTTCCCCAATATGAACCAAATTCGAACTGCCATGTATTTTATGCCTTTAGAAATCAGTCTTGATGAGCAACAGCTAAAATTTTTAGAAGCACATTGTTGAGGACCAAAACTGACAAATGTTTACATAAACTCTCATCACAAACTGACTATTAAAAAAATATTAAAAATTCCTTAACCAAGCTGATTGAAATTTTCATGAAGGATAATATATTTAAAAAAAACAACAAAAAAAAAAACAAGACAATCAAGACCAATGTCTTAAAAAAACTCAGTTATTGATACTTACAATGCCTTTTTCTTTTTTTAAATCCCGCCCTGTTGAATTTTGTTTTTGTGTGACATTCGGTCCAGTCCTTGTTACTCTGATCTCTTTGTGACTGGACATTGATCTTGCACTTCCTATGAGAGAAGTTAAATGGGACATTGCCACAGCAGCCTTTAGGAAAAATGGAAAAACAAATAAACCAAATTTTATTATCACACATAATGAAAATCTCATGACAGTGGGCAAGGCTAAAGGCACCAAAAAAAAAGAAAGAAAAAAAAGCAGACCCGGATTCTATCACACTTAAAAAGAAAAATGAAATAGAGTTGTTACTTTTTTTTTGTTTGTTTTACAGTGGCCATAAAAATGACATTTCAAATACTTATTACTTAATCAACTTAAGGCTTTGAAGTAAGGAAGTCACACAGAAAGTTGCATTTACTGCAGAAGCTAAATTAGCAATATTCTAAAATAGTTTTTGAAAGCAATAAATTAAGGGTAGGTCTAATAGATTTGGAAATTGTTTTTTTGGACTACAACAACTGACTGAAGACAGAACAAAAACAATATTTTAAAAGATTTTAAATGCCCTTTTTTTAAAGACTAGTTTAACCCTCTCAGTCACATTACAGCTACCCAGCCCATATGCCCAAGTGGTGCTATGGTCAAATCCCACTGTAAATCACACCATTTTCAATGTAACCTAGTGAATTTAGCTCTTCTTAGAAAGAATTCCAAAGAGTCTATTTATAAACAGGAAGTGTTAAGATAATTACTTGTTGAAATTTAATAACTGTGCAATTTTGATTTTTTAAAAAGAGTGGTTTGTTGACATTAAATATATGATTAGACAATGGTGTTTTCCAGAAAGGCTTCAAGCTGCAAAAGCATCGGTTTTTAGTGTCCAAAGTGATGAATTTGATGCAGAATTAGATAATGGAAATGAATGTGATGTTAATATTGAAATAGTTCAACATTTTGATGTCCCAGATGAGACAGAAGATGAAGATATGGACAATGTTGATAGATCTGACTGGTCTGACCAATTACGTAACATTGAAGAATTTTTGGTGAAACTGGTCCTAATGAAGACCTAGATAATACTTATAAATAGTATGATTACTTTGGCTCATTCATCCCTGAGACTTATGAAGAGTTGGGAATGCAGACTAACATGTATTCAAGCTCTACCAGGCCATACAAAACATTAAATGATGCAAGTGCAAATGACATGGAATAATTTTATTTTACATAAATAGGATGTTTGGATTTTTTTCAGGTTTGGATTTTTTTCAGCTAACAGTATATTAACACTACTGGTAATAAGCTGTTAGATGTCCCTGCATAAAAAAATGGTGCAAAGTGATCAAGTAACATAAAAAATAAATAACAAAAAACATGTGGCATCTGTATTGTTTTATAGAAGATTATTCTTCTGCATGAATATTTTGATTTTTTAAGGACAAAGTTATAATAAATAAATAAATAATATTTTAAATTTATTATAATTAAATTTTTATATTTTCTCTACAATTATCAGTTAGTTTTGTATGACTGGATGAAAGACTGTTTCTAATAATGTTTTTAAGTCAGCATGAAAGAAATGGAGTTATTTCCCTTTGCTTGCTATTGACAGTAATTTCCTTATGGATACTATCTTACTGAGATGGTAAAAATGCACTAAAAAGGGGAAAATAATTATCTTAAAGTTCATTATGCAAAGAAAGTATGTGCAGAAGGGTATAAAAAAATTCTCTACTTAAAAAAAGGATTCCAATCAAATGTAAAAAAAACATAAATATGTTTCATTTTTAAAAAAAAAATTTTAAAAATATTTTCTGCTCAAACTTTCTTTACTTTTTTGAGGTTTAAACTTGTCTTCGGAAGAAAGTCTTTTTTAAAATGGTTTAAACGTTTTCAGGAAAATATATGGGCCAACAAAGGATGAATATGGATGGAGACTACGAACCAACCAGGAATTATACAGTCTATATCAGGATCCCACGATAGTGGCAGAAATAAAAAGAGGCAGGCTAAGGTGGGCAGGACACCTAGAGAGAATGCCAAATGACAGAGGAATGAAGAGAGTGCCTCACCAATACCCCAGAGGAAAAAAGCTCAAAGGCAGACCTAGGCTTAGGTGGATAGATGATGTAGAAAAAGATCTACAAGATCAGTCCAAGCATGGAAAACAAAGGCATTAGTTAGGTCTGAGTGGAAGGAAGTGGTGGGCTGTTGCGCCACAGGGATGGATGGATTAAAATTTTGCTACTTTTTAGTATGAAAAATTAACTGAAAATGATCCAAAAATGAAGAATTAAAAAAACAACAACTTATGAATGCTTATAAAATCCTGGCAATAGTGACTTAGCTCTTTACCTAGGTATAAAACTAAAATATAAAATTGATCAGTCAAATTGCCATGCCACAAAAATCTTTCCCCATCCCATACCATCCCAAAATCTTACAGTTAGGATAAATGGGTACTGAAGGCAAAGGGGTGGGTTTTTGCTTTTTTAGGTTTCTGTTTTTTTAATCACTCTTTATTGCCCCATCACCCACCAGTCTGAGCGAACACAGATGCCATGATGATGTTTGGCTTTATAACCGGCAGCCGAATAAGAAAATTCAGAGAACGCGGCCCGCGTTTATTTCCATGCGCGCACTTTTACGTCTTAAATCGATCCCTATGCCTAACCTGAACCCTAAATCAATCCCTATGCCTAAGCCGAACCCTAAATCTATCCCTATGCCTAACCCGAACCCTAAGCCTAAATCTATCCCTACGCCTAACCCGAACCCTAAATCAATCCCTATGCCTAGCCTTAACACAGTCAACGTGGGCCGCTAAATCTGAAACAGCCGCCGAATAAATTTTATAAAGAATACACGTAAGATTTCACGCAATAATACGAAATTCGATCAGCAATAATATACGCACCTGAACTGCAAGATTTCCATGATAAATATATAGCAAACATAGTATAACAAACCTGAGGCTGGCAGAAAGTCTGAGCGAACACAGATGCCATGGCCATGATGATGTTTTTATACCGGCAGCTGTAGTAAATACTAGGGTTGAGCTAGCTGAACAGAGCCTGCAGATAGGGTATAACCTTAGCGGAAAATGTTAGCACAGTACTTAAGAGTGAGCTACACTGTACAGGCAGAACTTTTCAAAAGGCAAATACTGAGATATTAAATAATATGATTGTTTTCTTGTAAAGTTAGCCCTGTCTTATGAAACGGTGACCGACATGACTTGATGGGTTATCCAGATTTTATTACAATGATAACAATATTCCAGAACACAGAAAAGAAAAAAAAATATTCTCGATAAGAAGCATTCTTTTAACAGATAAAACTTTAAAAAATTTGTATGCAACGCATTAAGTAAAAATCTTGAAAGATTAGGCCCTTAGTGGTAGCAAAATTTTCACAAAAACGTTTTAATTTTTCAACTACCAAACCTGGAGAAATAAGTTTAATTGTAAACATTAATACGAAAAGAGTTCGAGAAACATCCAGTTTGTTGTTCGTAATCGAACAAATTTAAAAACAGGTTTAGAGCATCGATTATCCTTGGTGCAGTAAATTGGGTCCAAGTTATTTCGGATACATTTTTCCGCATGGAAATCTGATGGAAAGTGTGCGTTAAACTAGTTAAAGGAGTTAGTCTGGGCCAGCGCTAGGTGGGTGCGGGGCCTTGGGCAATTACAATTTTGCGTGACCGTTTACTTACGTTTTATATCCAGGCCGATGGGATATTAAAACACGTCATAGTTATTACTGGGTCTCATTGGTCAGCAAGAGAACGTCATTTCAGATATTTTTCACTAGCTTAGTTTCAGAAATTTCTATATTTACATCTTTTATATTAACTTTGCTTTTTTCGTGTGCTTCTTTGTGGCAAAATCTTCAGAAGGCTAACTAACCCACTTCCCGTTATTCTATCGAGCTGGTTCTGGTAGGGTACGTTGCTGCATCCAAGAACTGGCATAAGTGCAACGGTTGGGGAAGCGATGCTGTTATCTTAACGGCTCCTAGCGGATGCCAGGGCAGTCTTGAAGCTCTCAATTGAAGTAGAGTCCACGGCGGCATTGTACAGGTGGTTCCAAGCGATTATTGTGCGTGGGAAGAATGATTGTTTATATTGAGCTGTGTTACACGGAGGCACAGTGAAGCATTTGCTATTGTTCCGGATGTAATTGCTTATGGCAGCCCTGCACAACTCAAAATGTAAGGTGGGACGTAATACTTTATGAAAAACTTGTGCGGGACATAATATTTTATGAAAAGCTTGAGCGGGCCGAAAGATAATAGGACAAGGGGAAAGCTATTAATAAAAAAAATAAAAAAATAAAGAATATTTTGTTACTCCGCGGGCCGCATGTTGTGCAGGCCTGGCTTATGGGGTTGTTAGATGTGAAGTCAGTGTTTAGTGAGCGTTTGGCTCTGATTAATCGACCTGGCTTCTATGGGGTGAGATACGTGTTTGCTGGGATGACCGGCAATAGCCACATGACCACTTTATATAAGAATGTTAGGCGGAGCTTTTCTCGTCTGTCTTTGAGGGAGGGGATCTTTTAAGAGGCCAGGAGTGGTGGATTTGTAGTCGCGTGGGATGAAACTCACTGCGTACGTTGGATTCGCCCCATCTTGTCCACGTCTTGCTTTAGGTGTGGGTCCCAGATGATCGCACCATATTCTAGTAGTGGACGGATAAGTGCAAGATAGGCATTTCGTTTGCAGGAAGTTGGGCAGTGGCGCAGATTTCTTCGAATGAAACCTAGTGTGGAGTTGACGTTTTTTTAAAAAATTTTTGTTTATATGGAGTGACCATTTTAGGTTATTCGAGAAGAGAATTCCAAGGTATGGATTATTTGATACTTGTTGGAGAATTGTCTTGTTTAGGGATTACATATAGGTTGATGTAGTTTTTCTTGAGATGCTCATTGTTTAGCATTTGGTTTCATTAAATTTCATGCCCCATTTGTTCACCCAATTCATAAGGCACTTCAAATCAGTTTGGAGACAGGGTTTCTTTCAACTGTAGCTCGGGGGGGGGGGGGGCCGGCCCCCCCCCCCGGGGAAAGGCCAAGGGCCCCCCCCCCCCCGGGGAAAGTCAAGTGTCCCCCCCCCCGAGCAAAAAATATTAACAGCAATAAAACAAAATATATTTTATTAAAAAAACTACAAAATTGTCATTTTAAAACAATTTTAATAAGAATATTAGCTGGTGTCATTAAAGAATCACCGTTAGTGGAATCAATGAAATATCGCTACGCTCGATATAATTGTTGATCCGTAACTGTATTTGAAGCTGATCTTCTTAGAAGCTTACGTTTTTTGATTATAAATATCGTAATGTTTGGCTTCCTGTTGTTCGCATTTATCTTTATTTAACAATTTTTTGCCAGCTGACAAAACGTTTATAACACTGTATTAAACTACGTTTGCTTCAGTTTTAAGGTATATAATTGTAATAGAGTTCTCACTAAGTAGCAAACATGAGCAATCTTTTCATGTTTTCAAACTATATTTTATAATAAAAGCATGACTTTTAAAGTAGGGAATTGTGTTAATTGTAAATTGAATGATGGCATCATGCTTTAAAAAAATATAGTTAGTATTAGCATCAATATTTCTTTCAGCTATCTCTCCGGGAGGGAACTGCCGCCCTCCTTCTCTCCCCTGGAGGAGCACAATGTGTGCAACAATATAACACAATTATATTTCTTATTGAAAATGACAATATTGTCATTTTTTAAAAGCTTTAAAAAGCATAGTAATTGGAGCCTTTAACAGATTACAATTAGTGGAATCTATAAAATATTGCTAGGCTCGACATCGTATGTTTAAGGCTAATCAAGTTATAGTATAGGTATAGTATTTGGTAATGGATATCATACTGACCGCTCCAATCTTACTTCCTGTTCGCATATATCGCTATTTTTATTTATTTATTTTTTGCAACTTCACAAGTTTAAATACTTTGACACCGTATTAAAATATATTTACATATCGATAAAGGTCTACAATTTTAATAATAGTTAGTCAAGCATCAAACATGTGCAATATGCTATTAAATTATAGTTTATCGTAAAAGCATGATTTTTAAAATAGGGATAGGTATTAATTATAAATTGTAAGATGGCGTCATGCTTTTTTTCTAATTTAGAATTTAAAGGGTGCATACAAATAGTGCACATTTTTATCAATTATTATTAAATCCAAAGTACTTTGATTTCTTTAAATGAACTAATTTTGTTACTTATTTTCCTGAATGAAAGATACAAAAAATACTTAGCCTATATTTATTATTATTAACTTCTAAACTGCTTTTCTCTTTTTTAATATTAGAATAATATAAAAAAAAAATGCTCCATCCATTTGTATTGCACTCTTTTTTTATATTAATATGTGTATGTTAATATGAGTCCAGAAGAAAGTTAAGAAAACAGTTTTTGTGAACTAGCATTTCGATTATCACGCCAATGCCATTTTTGGTACGTGTTTGAAAATGAATTCTTATTCTTAATTCGTCGATTTAAAATAGATTCTGTGCATTTGGTTTAAAATATTTTAAAGTATAGCGAAAGGCGAATTAAAAAAAAAAAAAAATAGCAGTTTGAAATTCCAAATAAAAATTTGAGTTTACTAGCTGTTGGGAAATTTATACTTTATTTGCATACGATTTCCCTTATATAAAAATCACACATTAATAAATAGTATGTATTTTGTAAATAACTCATGTCTTCTTAAAATATTTATGTCGTTCATATACAATTTATAAAAATGACCAGTTTTCAAAAGCCATAAAAATGTATAGACCTTTCAAATGAACCTTCCCCCCCCCCCCCCCC